CTGTCTCTTATACACATCTAGATGTGTATAAGAGACAGGATGGGGGCAGCTCGCGCTCAACTTCATCAACGTGGCGAGCCTTGCACGTGAGAGGCACAGTGGAGGTGGAGTTCAAAGAAGAATGAGAAATTTAATGGTTTCAATCTGCCCTTGTTTTTTCTTTTTGTTTTTCTTTTTATTTTTATTTTTGCATGTTATCACTGTGCCCGTTTTTTGCTTTTATTCTTTGTTCCGCAAAGTGCGCTCTTTTAGTTTGTAGTGATGTGACAATATATTATATATGATAGTCTGCTTTGATTTCATCACAGGTACCTTGAGGGCAGTGGTTGGTGCCCACCTCCTCAGATGGGTATCATTTGTCGGGCAGTCGTTGATGCTTAACCACAGCCGGGGTTAATGTGGATTATCACTGACAGTGTAATCAGTTAGGGGATTCTGCAGACTGTTGAGGGTTCACCCTCCTGATGAGTTGGTGAAACTCCGACGAAACAGTTTGTCACATCCCCTAGTTTGTTGTCCTCTTCTCCCTCTCTGCCTACGGTTTACAGGGGCAGCTCTATTTGAGTCTATATCTATATATCTATATATACATCTCTCTCTCTGATTCTCTCTCTCTCTCTATATATATATATATGTGACGATATAGCCTCCTGATGAGTCGGTGAAACTCCGACGAAACAGTTTGTCACAGCCCCTCGTTTGTTGTCCTCTTCTCTCTCTCTGCCTACGGTTTACCGGGCAGTTCTGTTTGTGATGATATATATGTGACGATATATATGTGACGATATATATATTATATAAATTTGGTCCATTGGGCGATTAATCTTCTGTTTAGCTGACAGTTTTCAGTTTTCTAATCTGGTTTTTTGGACATCTATCCTGTGGGCTATTTCCCATTTTAGGTCGCTCTGCGTACATGGAACTTTTGAGCAGGTTGTATGAAGAGAGAGACCAAGCTTGGTTGACTCCGGTGGAAATATTAAAGGTGAAGGTCCTGAAGGAGGAAAAAACTTCGAAACAAGTTTAAAAACAAAAAAAATAAACTTGAAGAGGAAAGCGAAAGATTTTTCCTTGTCAATATGGCCCTTTACGATGAAAAAAGAGAGAGAAGAAAAGAAGGGACAGGAAAGGTGCCAAGCTTCAGACAGGCAAAAAAAAAACAAAAAACAAAAAAGAAAGATAAAAAAAAAAGAAAAAACAAAAAAGAAAGATAAAAAAAAAACAATCTGTTCAAATTGAAATCAGACTGCACTCCAACTTGCTTTCGACATGCATACACGCAGACTGATGGTAAAACCAAACTCTTTCAACTCATAATCAATAACGAACTTGCACTTAAACTCTGTTCAAAGCATTTGTACAACTTTCGGCTATGGCCGCCGTCGTTTTTTTCCTCCTAGCTCAAACGGCGGCCATAGCTAGGAGGCACACTGTCTCCACCACCAGCCTCACTGTCTCTAATGCACACACAAACGAGGATCTACCCTGAATGTCCACGCCACACAGACACACACACTCTGTACACTCTGTCTGTGACAACAGCTGGGCAGCTATGGCCGCCGTCGTCTTCCTCCTGGCCAGCTATGGCCGTCGTCTTCCTCGCTACCCGCTTCAGCTCTGGGCACCTGCAGTCCTCCACACACAAGTCACCAAGGCAGCGCTTCCGCATGGCTCACAGGCGAATGAATGAATGGCTGGTCGCTGCCTCTTTATTTATACTCCTCCACAGGTGGCCTGGACCTGCCTCAAAACGTGTGAGCCTGGGCCTGGAAGCCTCCAGAACACGTTGGCATGCTTTGCCAAAACCGTGTGGGACCCTGTGGCAAACCGCGTGGGACCCTCACCGCTTGCTTGGCACTTGCTGACTGGACTCGGCTGAGACACACCTACCACATTCTAGAACCTACAGCCTTGGCCTTTCACTTCAGCCAAGGCTACATACTGACTGACCCTTGGACTCACGTAGAGACAGGTAGAGAGTTCTAGAAGGCCTAAACTAGACCCAATGGTAACCTACTAACCTACTAATACGAAGATCTACGGATCAAGTCCAACTGACTAACTTACTGCCTAACCTACGACTCAGGACAGGTCACGGGTTCGAATCTCACACACAACACAGGGTCTATGCACAGGGTTTTTGACTTAGCAGACATCCTTTTTGTTCGGACAGGGCTAGTACAGTGATTTCAGTATTACCACGCTTTGCGGACCTCGAACCCGCACCCCGTGCTCTGATTTTTCTTCTGTTAGAGTGTGTAGGGCCTGGACAGGGGACATATCATGAATTCGTAGTAGAATGATCGGCGGGCCTCGAACCCGTGACCTGTTCCTTGGCAGCCTGGTCAGGCCTCGAACCTGCAACTTGCGCTTGCATAGCATGCGGGTAGAGACTGAGTTTTTCCTTACCTTGCATGGATTTGTCACTGTATGGTTCACGAGCCTCGTACCCGTGACCTTTGTTTTGGCAGTTGTTGGTTACCGGACCACGTGTTTGCAAGGAGGTAGGACTCAAACTTGTGCTGTGTTTTTGTATTAGCCTTCGTAGGGGGAATTGTAGCTGGGTTTGATAGTTTTTAGCCTTACTGGGAGTATAAATAGATTGATGAGGATTGATTCGACCTCTCGGGTCGGCTACGAAAACACTATTACTACTACGTAGTGATGGTGGTAGCCATTGGGTTTGACGGTACGACTGGTGGTTCGTTGGGTTTGATGGTTCGACTGGTGGGACTCACTTGGTGATCTTATACTCGTTAATCTTGCCATTGAGTGGTTTTTCGCTACTTGATGACTAGTGTGCATCTTCTGTGTGCATCTTTCATCCATATCCATTAGGTCTAGGGATCGAATCTCACTCAGCACACAGTGGTCAATGTCAATGTACAGGGTTCAGGCATAGGTCTAGGGACCGAATATCAGGGTCTGCACTTTGTGAGGTCAACCGGGTGAAAAGGTTCGTCTATGCTCTGGGCAGTGGAGATGCATGTCGCTACTTTTTCTTTCTTCCTTTATTTTTTATTTAATATTTATTTATTTATTTTCCTTCTTTTATTCATCAGTGGGGTCTGGTGAAGAAGAGTAAGACTCAGACCACAAAAAAAATAAAAAAATAAAAAAATCATACAGAGTTGCCCCCGATTCACCCCCCCACCAATAAGATTGGCGAGAATTGGAGGGCCTTTGAGGCTGCCCCCTTTTTTTTTTTTTTCCCCAAGGCTTCCCATTTAAATTCTCCTTTGACAACTGCATTGTAGCATACGGCTCCAAAAAATATTGTTGCCATTAAACGGGTTTCAAAAGTTCCCCCCCCCCCCTGCAAAAAAAAAAAAAAAGGCTTTTCAAGTTTTVGAGAGAGGCGTCATCAATAGTTGTTCGATTGGGCCCAGCAGTCATAGATCCCTTTTGTGATATGATAATAAAAGTCATTATTTAGTTTACTATTTTTATAATAGTAAATTAATACTTTAATAAATATATGATTATTGTAATATTATATTTGATTTTCCAGATTTCTACGATTCCACCAAAAACAGCACCATGGCAACACGACCATCATCTCAACTACAACGACAGATACAGTGAGCACGTCCCACTAGATGCAATTATTATTATTATTATTATTGTTATTATTTTTTCAGACTAAAGTTGCGTACGGGATTGTACATGCAGACTGCTCAGCTGATGCTCAGATCAACCTCTTAGGGTGGGGGTTGGGGAAATGGGGGGTCTGCCTGCCTACATGATCTGGAAAGTCAATCTTAGGGGGTAGTACCAGACCACATGTGTGAAACAAGAAAGGATAGTAGACTGGGTAAAAAAAAAGAGAGAAACAAAAGTCTACTCCGAACCTGATTTTAGCTCGCGTGGAAGTAGCCATGGTTGGGCCCAATATCAAGCTGCCATGTCGGCAATCATCTCAGGCTACTGTGTAGGTCTACCTGCCGGAGTTCAGTCGCCACAGGCTGATCCTGGAAGAGTTGTTGTCATTACAATCACTCGCCTGTTTTTAAACTTTAAACAAATCAATTCAAATGTTCAGGGACGCTGAACCCGCTGTCCAGCAGGTGCTGCTCCCCACCAATAGATGGAGCCTTCCCGGTGATGCTCGTGGTGTCTGCTCTTACCAGCAGCACCCCTAGGATCGAATCGGGTTGTTTGTGGTATAAAAAGAAGAAGAAGAAGAAAAAAAAAAAAGTGAAAAAAAAGTGATACCAATAGCTTGCCATATGGTGAATGTTCTCAAAAGCTTCAAACGTCCAGACTCCACAGACTATGGGGCTTCGCTCCACTACACAACACTCTACAATGTCTACATGCATTTGGAATTGTGGATGCTAGCTTGACAAGATGCATTCAGAATGTTGGACTCGTCCAAATGCACCTGGTCCAAAAAGCGGCCAAATGCACATAGAGGGTTGTGTAGTGTAGCGAGGCCCTACATAATGCTAGAAATCTTCAAGTCTAAGGTCAATTTCTACCAAGTTGCTTTCCCCTACAGTCCCCGCTCTAACCCCCCCCACCCCCAACCCCCCTCCCCCAGCAACCCTGCTTTCCCGGATGGCCAGGCTGTGCAAGTAAAAGGGCCTTTACCCGATTCAGCCCCTGTTCGACGAAAGCAGCTCGCCCAAAGCCCAATTCGTGAAAGCAGATCAAAAGGCATGTTTTCTGGGTCAAAGGTCACATCCTAAACTAAAGCAAAAGACATTGTCAAAGGTCACAGTTGTGCCCCTGGACGAACAGTTGCAATATCTGGGTCACATCTGTTCATCCAGGGGGTGTGCGAGTCATATCTATTCGTGCAGGGGTGTGTCTGTACGTACAGTCAATATGTCTTTTCGTGCAATGAAAAGTGTCTGTTCATGCAAAAGATGTGTCTGTCTAAAAAGAAGTCAAAGAGTTAAGTCTCAGTCCAGATTCGAGTCAGGGGGACAGTCTAGATACAGACAAGCAGTCCGAAATTGAGGCCTACAGGCCGCAGCAGCAGCAACCCTTGAAGGACAGGGAGTCTGGGACACATACACCGAGGCTGGGACTGGGAAAGGACCCAAGACAGACCGAATTCAGCCCTCATTTGGGGAGGCCAGCACTATAAGAAACGAGACTGCCTCCTCACAAGGCAGATTTCCACTGGCATTGATGCGTGGAAGTGCTGTGGCACTTGTGCGCTAGCTGGTTGGACAGGCGCTGGCTGAAGTAGAGCTGCACCAGGAAGAAGGAAGGCTGGGCGCTGGCTGCAGGGAAGCCATAGCTGCACCAGCCCATGTTAGTAATAGAGGGTTAGTCAGTAGGACATCAGTGATTGACATTCAAAGTAGATCTTCGTAGGTGAGAGTGTGCATGCAGAGTGAAGAGAGAGAACCAAGACATAGATCTAGAGAGAGAGAGAGAGAGGGAAGACAGGGAGTAAGTCTGGATATGGTGGATACTTACCTGTTGCGCCACATTTGAGATCTGTAGGAGGACGCTGGTAGAGCCAGGTCCCACGCTGTTGTTGGATAAGGGAGACTTACCTCTGGCCGATGCTGAACTCTGGAACTCACGATGCTCTTTGTATTGAATGACATTGATAATATAAGCTGCGCCACTGGTTCTTATCTCATCTCAATCTGGTTTTGGTGTAAGACCACTTTGTACGTGTGATGACATGTATGCATGCGGTGTGATGCTCTCAAGCAAGCTGTGAACAGTCAGGTTCCTTGCACAAGGACCAGGGAAGTTCCCAGCGCAATAAAAAAAAAAAGAAAAAAAAAAAAGAAAAAAAAAGAAACAAAACGAAAAATATTAAAAAACAATGTTATGCAGAAAAATAAACTGAACAAGTTTTGCCGAAGGGTCACATCGAATGTTTTTACCAAATTTATAAAAATAAAATAAAATAAAAAATATTTTTTATTTTATTTAAATATTTTAATTATATTTGTCTTTTTTTTTTGGGCCCGGACGGGCAAGTGGTCCCGGGCCACTCTGGTAGCCTAGTTTATATATGGTTATCTAACGTATAAGTTATATCTAATTATGTTAAATTTATCTATTTATTATTGTTTGTCCTTTATGATAATGATAATGATGATGATGATTGATGGATGAATCTTGTAGAGATTGTTGTCATGCAATCAGTTTTAACGAGTCTTTTTTTTCTTTTTTTTTCTTAATAAGAAAATTTTGGACCGTTTCTTGATTTATGCTTGTCATATCCTTGAGCAGGGGCCATGCTAATCTTCTTTCCCTGTATCGTTTCAATTTTGACGGATGATGAATCTAATATTCCTTTTTTTCTTTTTTTTCTTTTTATTTTTGGGCCTGGATGATTCTCACAGCCATGGTATGGATACGCAATAGCTGAGTACATTCTGCGGCGGCATGATCCCACAGCACCTCTCAAGGTAACAACTTGTAACCATCCCTGTGGATGTATCTGACCACAATTACTGCCTGTCCTGGATGTACCTGACTGCAATCACGTCCAGCAGGCATTATCCCTCAACACCTCTTAAACCACCAGTATATGCCGGCCATAGGCAGTGACGGAGGCCCGAAATGAAAAATGGGCCGCCAATTCGATTGATTTATCAACGGCGGGCCTCCCCCACTTGGCTACCGCGTTACCCGGCGCATCCTAGATTTCAAGCGGGAAAAGGTACCGGTGGTTTAATGGTACGATCCAAAATTATCCCCTTGTTCATTTTTTTGAATTTTTTTCCTAGCTTGAGTGCATATTACTAACGACCGTTTTCACCCGAATAGAACGCCTGGGCATTATTGCTGCATCTGGAGTGAAAGTTGGCCCCCAAATGCAGCTATAATGACTGCCAGCACTTTTCTGTTGAAGACTGTAGGACATCCCTGGATGCATTTGGCCGCAACCATGGCCGGGGGGAGGGGAGAGGGAGGGGGGCGGGAGAGAGAGAGAGAGAGAGAGAGAGAGAGAGAGAGAGAGAGAGAGAGAGAGAGAGAGAGAGAGAGAGAGAGATTCAGTGAAAGTCCGACGAAACAGTCTGGCGCAGTCGTGCTTTCTTTCATGGAGTTGTGTACATTGAATATGAACACACGCACACACACAAGCACACACAGACACACGTTCATGCAAGAGAGA